AAAGCCACCCAATTGGCTTTTGTGCCTAAGGCAGGACTAGAACTCCCTGTCTCCTGGTGATTGGCCCAGTCACCCAGCCGGCTTTTGCGGCTAAGGCAGGACTAGAATTCACCGTCTCCTGGTGATTGGCCCAGAGTCACCCAGCTTGCTTTCCTGACTAAGACGGGACTAGAACTCACAATTCTTTGCTTTCTAGCCGGTACCTTAACCACTAGACCAAACTGGCTTTCTTTTCTAAGTGATCTTTTTCACGAGACTGGACCAATCAGGAGCCCAAATGGCAACCTTCCCAAGTGCGAGTGGAGCCAGTTGAAGAGAGGACACCTCCACCCACCCACCCCGCCAACTCCCCTGTGGAGATTTTGAGCCAAACTTCCTACCTGGTTTGGAGACGGACATAATGCTCATCGTCCCAGACTTTATCCAAGTTGTAAGACACAAACTGCTTGTGGATGTCATAGGCCAGAACCTCATCCCGTACACTGCCGGCTTCGTGGCTTTTGGAGGACACATTCCTGTCAGAGAAGAAGCAAAGGCATCGAAAGTCAGAAGTTCTATCAGACCATCGTCTTCACACAAACGGTTAAATCTACTTTCTAGAGTGACGGTGCCGCGATTCCAATGCAGTACTGCAGGCGACTTCTACTAACGGCCGGCTGCCAGCAAATTCGATCCTGACCAGCTCCAGGTTGACTCAGCCTTCCATCCTTCCAAGGTGGGTAAAATGAGGACTCAGATTATTGGAGGGATGGCTCTGTAAACTGCTCAGAGAGGGCTGGAAAGCACCGTGAAGCGGTATATAAGTCTTAAGTGCTATGGCTGCTGCTATTGCTAAAGACTTAATAAGACCCCACTTGGGGGTTATTGCATCCATTCTTGGTCTCCACGATATTAAAAAAAAAATAAAAATACGGAGATTCTAGAAATAGTGCACAGAAGAGCAACGAAGAAGATTAGGGGACTGAAAGCTAAAATATATGAAGAACAGTTGCAGGAATTCGGTTTGTCTAGTTTAATGAAAAGGACGACTACGGATGACATGACAGCAGTCTTCCAGTATTTGAGGGGCTGCCTGAAAGAAGAGGGGTGTGTGTGTGTGTGTGTGTGTGTGTGTGTGTGTGTGTGTCAACCTCTTCTCCAAAGTATCCAAAGGAGCAACAGATGGAAACTAATCAAGGAGAGAAGCAACCTGGAACTAAGGAGGAATTTCCTGAGAGTGAGAACAATTAATCACTGAACTTCAGAAGTTGTAGGTGCCCCATCACTGGGTGTTTTAAAGAAGAGATTGGACAAACACTTGTCAGAAAAGGTATAAGGTTGGACTAGAAGACCTTCGAGGTCCCTTCCAACCGTGTTACCCTGCACCCAACGTAGCCAGACCCACAGCTGTCCACATGCTAACACTTCCTTCTATATCAGAAGGGACTATCAGGAAATCCTTACCGGATTGTCTCTTCGAACTTGGCCTTGCCTAGCCGATCGGCCAGTAATTTCTTCAGGTCTCCCCAATAGAGCACTGGATCGGACGCGGGATTGTTGCCTTCAGAGTATTCAGATGGAGTGAAGACTTTCGATGCTGCTGCGCCATTGCTACACTCTGGCACTGGTGGCATCCGGGCACGGAAACTTATGTAGCCAAACAAAAATCCTGCAAAAGGGGAGACATCAGGGTTGAACGGGTCAAGGCGTAACATCGGAAAGGACAGCACAATTCGCACACAGCCGCGTCGTTGGAAAGATCCCAAGGCAATTGGGACTTGCTTAATGTTTGTCTCGGAATCCCTTTCGCTTCTCATCCAAGGAGCTTCTTCTGAAGTTGGAAGTGAAGAAGCTTCTTGGATGAGAAGGGAAACCTTTTCCAGGGGGGGGAAAAACCAAGGAAGTCCAGTTGCCTTTTGTGGGGGGAAGCACTTTTACGACATCCATGACCTGGATGACTGAGAATCTCCACAGGCGTTGTTGAAAAGATGTATGTTTTTGTCTTAATAGAAAATACAAATGAAAATAAAGGCAATGGAAAATAAGGGGAAAAGGGGATAGCATGAGGAAAAAAAGAAATAAAAAGCAGCGATTTCCAACTTCTTTCAATGCAGTTCACTTACTTTCTTCTTTAAAAACAGCAAATGTAAATGCCATTTATGTAACAATAACCTACCTAAGAACAAACACAACGCTATTGAGAAAACTCCATGATTATTTTAAAAAGTTGGCATGGCAGTACAGGTAGCCCTCGATGGTATGCCACAACTGACCCCCAACCTTCCTGTTGCTAAGTGAGACCGTGCCTTTAAGCGAGTATGGCCCAATTTTGCAAAGTTTCTGGCCACGGGTAAGTGAATCACCGCAGTTGTTAACACGGCTGTTGGTTAAGTGAACCTGGCTTCCACCCACTGGCTTCGCTCGCCAGAAGGTTGCGAGAGGCGACCACGCGACCCTCTCCATTAACGCTTCTCAGCAGCCAATGGCGGCTCCGCTCAACTTACCTATTAGAAACAGGAGGGCCACCCCGCCACACACGCAGCACAGGTGCCGATGCCTTCTGGATTTGGCTTTCCTGGGGGGCAGATGGTCGATCATGCCGTTCTCCCCTGCCTCCTCTTCCTCGGCCGAGAGTTTCATTTCCACACGGCTGCTGTCCCCGTCCGGCTGTCGGGCCAAACTGAAGCGAGTATAGGAGAGGGGCTCCGCTCCGAACTAGAGATAGGAGATTGGATCGCACAAGAGTGGGTGGGGGGGGGGGGGGGAGGAAGAGAAAAAGAAAGTTGCCCTTTCTTGTACAAAAATGACACGATCTCGCTTCCTGCTATGCAGCATGCGGCTCACAAGCATTACGGGGCTTGGAGCTGGAAGGAACAGCTGACAAAATGGATGGATGGACCTTTATAGGCTTCTGAGGTTTTGTGTTTGAGATGCTCCAGGGGGCCGTCCAATGTAGTGAGCCTTGCGTTTTTTGCTACTCTGATGGTGGTGGGTAAATCTTGTATGTCCTAAAGGTCATGTCCTGTTCTTGGGGGAAATGTACGTTCAGAAAGAGAGCACATCTTTTCTCCTTCTGTCCTGGCCACTTTTTACAGAGGCACCACGGAGAACGTTTTAACAACCTGCATCCCTGTTTGGTTTGGTGGCAGCAGCGCCTCAGATAATAGAAAGTCCCTACAGAGAGTGGTGAGGACAGCCGAGAAGATTACAGGAAATTCGCTTCCCGTTATTCAGGATTCTGCTTACAAACGCTATGTGCTTAGAGCTCAAAGCATTGTTAGAGACCCCAGACCCACCCACTTCATGATCTCATTCCGTTGCTCCCCTCTGGGAGGAGGTTTCAAAGTATTTCTAGCAGGACTACAAGATTCTGGACCAGCTTTGCTGCCTGTGACATCTGTCTGGCAAACTCGCAAGATTCGTTTCTCTCCCATGTACATGTTGTTTCTCTGTGTCACATAGGGCAGTACATGCATACTTTTGTATTTACTCCTGTATTTATTTTGTCATGTTTTACGTAGCGTATATTGGAGGTGGTGACCCTCTGAGAGCTGGATGCAACAAAATTTCATGTTAATGTGCCCTGAGTAGTGTCCATTCAAAATGGCAATAAAGTTATCCTAAAGTCTCTTATTTTTATTTTAATCCAGCTGAGCAGGAAGGCCTGTGGGTTGACCCAGGTACAGGTGGGTCCTCAACTTACGCCAGAACAGAATCCAACATTTACACTGGTAAGGAAGAGTGGAGTTGGGCCCCATTTTACAACCAGAGTTGTTATGTGAATCACTGCAGTTGCTAAGTGAATCATGCGGTTATTAAGAAAATCTGGCTTCCCCCATTGACTGTGCTGGTCAGCTGAGGTGGTTTACAAATAAGTGACCTCAAGACACTGCCCTGGTCATAAATACAGATAGTCCTTGACTTACAACAGTTTACTTAGCAACTGTTCAGTTACAATGGCATTGAAAAAAGTGACTTATAACCATTTTTCACTTATGTCCAGTGCGTGCACGTTGTCAGAGATTTGACACACTGGTATATATTCACTCCCTAGAGAGATGCACCTGGCTCCCACTTTCAGCATTTAAGATACTGTTAAATAATCATCTCTTCCCCCTCAATATTCTTATCTTAAATTTTATATTAAATTGTGTAACTTGTTTGTATGTCGTTAGGCAGTTTTTGTCTTGTTTAGTTTCTTGGCGATTAACTCAAAGTCACCCAGCTGGCTTTTGCAGGACTAGAACTCACCGTCTCCTGGTGATTGGCCCAAAGTCACCCACCCAGCTTTCATGGCTAAGGTGGGACTAGAACTCACCATCTCCCGGTGATTGGCCCAAAGTCACCCAGTTGGCTTTCATGGCTAAGGTGGGACTAGAACTCTCCATCTCCTGGTGATTGGCCCAAAGTCACCCAGCCAGCTTTCATGCCTAAGGCGGGATTAGAACTCCATGTTTCCTCGTTTTTAGCTTGGCATCTTCACCACTAGAACAAACCGGCTCTCTTTTATTTTATCTCTCTTATTGTGTTAGAGGAGTTCAGAGGAGCTGAAACAGTTCTCTCTGCACACATTTCAACAGCCTTGAAATGAAGCCAGCGTTCAATTAGAGATTGCCTCATTCTTCTCCTTGCTGCCTGGAGCACTTCTCAGGGGCTAGTTAATTACCTTGTGATCTGACATACTCTCGGCTAGCTTCCTGTAGGAGTAAAAAATCAGGCACACCAGGTTTGCTGGTTAGCCAATAAACATTCAGCAATTTTAAGCAGGCCTCCCTTAAACAGCATGCCAACTGGCAAAAGTGAAGTAGGGCCACCTGCAATGGAAGGAGCTTCTTGATTGCAAGCTGTCCTTGAGTTACAGCAGCAATTGGGTGTGGAATTTCCCTAGCTAATGTAGGCAAAATGTGTGACATCGTATGTTGTAGTATCATTGCTGTTAGGCGAGGAATCTTGGATCATTAAGGGAGCACCTCCTTGTAACTCCCAGCCAGCTTCCAACAACCAAGTCAGCGAGGAAGCTAACAGAAAGTTGCAAGTCCCAGGTGGTAGGCAAGTGGCTATTGACTTAGAATAATTTTAATGTCACTTTGAATGAGCATTAATCGGCACACATTAAAATTTCATCGCATTCCGCTCTCAAAGGGTCCACCACCTCCAATATACACTACATAAACATGACAAAATACAACATTGTGCATATACCCACATATATTATAGGACATGGAGAAACAACACAGTCCAGTTCAGATGTACACATGTACATGGCGAGAGAAACGAATCTTGCGAGTTTGCCAGACGGACGGCTTAGGGGAACAAAGCAGTTCCAGGATCTGGAAGTCCTGCTAGAAATAACTTCGAAACCTCCTCCCAGAGGGGAGCAACGGAGACAGACTGTGAAGGGTGTGTGTGTGTGGGGGGGTCTCTAACAAGGCTTTTGAGCTCTAAGCACGTAACGCTTATAAGCAGCATCCTGAATGACAGGAAGCGAGCTTCCTATAATCTTCTCCACTCTTCTCACCGTTCTCTGTAGGGACTTTCTATTATCTGAGGCACTGGATGGGAGAGGGCTCAAGGGGTGCACAGAGGGGTGAGGAGGGGCAGCATGAGTACAGCTGGGTGTGGAGAGAGCTCATGCCAGATGAGTGAGGGTGCACGGGTGGCTAGGCAGGGATGGTATGGGCACAGCAATGTTTGGAGAGGGGGTGCAAGTGGCTGTGAATGCAGAGGCTAGAGAAGGGGGCATGGGGTGGGCTTCCCCAAGAGGCTTGCTACCTTCCCCCACTGGCTTTGCTTGGGGGTTGTCAAGGAAGGTTGCAAATCACACATGGTGATGTATGCATCAAACCTAAGTGCCAGCTGGTTGCCAAGATCCCAGACTGTGATCACATGATCACAGAAGCGCTGAGACAGTCAGGACTTCGAGGACCAGTCATAACGGTTGCTGAACAAGGGGCAGCGAACCAAGGACTGACTGTCAACAGCAGTGGGTTGAAAACAGACGCCGGATGGGGTGGGGGAAAGTGCGTAATGACAATCTTATTCTGTCATATTCATTCTTATATACATAAGCATCCTTACCATGTTAAATATTGCTTTCCTGGCGTGATCCATAATTCCAGATTTCTTCAGCTACTTAACTGGAACCTAGAAGCCAGAAAACATTAGTAACTTAGCAATTGGCATGAAAATTAATTTACAAAGGAACAGCTACCAGGCCTCTAGAAAGTATTGATTGGTTTAATAATGAAATTTTATTTGATCATGGTGAACCACCCGGCATTGTACATGTTTATTGTACATCTTGTACATTAGATTACACGAAGGCTAAAACATAGAAAGAACGTTTGCAGGAATTGGGTATGTCTCATGAAAAGAAGGACTAGGGGTGACACGACAGCAGTCTTCCAATATCTCAGGGGCTGCCCCAAAGAAGAGGCAGTCAAGCTATTCTCCAAAGCCCTGAAGGCAGTGACAAGAAGCCATGGATGGAAACTAATCAAGGAGAGAAGCAACCTGGAACGAAGGGAGAAATTTCCTTGGCAGTCAGAACCGTTAATCGGAGGAAGGACTTGAGTCTAGAAATTGTGGGTGCTGCAACACTGGAGGCTTTTAAGAAGGGACCGGACTGGACAACCGTTTGTCTGAAATGGTGCAGGGTCTCTTCCTTGAGCAGGGGGGCTTGGACTTAAAAGACCCCCAAGGTCCCTTCCAACAGTATTACTTTGTTAAACGATATTAGAACCCGGCATTTATTTCCCGGAGATTTGGCAGCCACGCCCTTCTGCTCCTGCAGATACTGTAATTATCAATCAATAATGAGGTTTCCAGGCATTAGGTCATGTCCAGTGTAGTACTAAAGGCTTGCTGACATTATGCTAACAATAACCTGGCAACTGCCAGAAAGCAGAACGCTGCTTCCACAGCCAGGAACCACCCTCTCGACTTGAGATATAGAATATAGGACCCAAAACCCAGGGAATTAATCCAAACTTTAAGGATGCAAACAAGTTCATGACAGCAATGCAAACATGGCCAGCCCAGGCATGAGGCTTCAACTCCCTCCTGTAGCCAGGGTAACCTTCAGCAAAATCTACATTAAGCAATGAGTTTTTTTTCTGTTCGCATTCCCCATTGTAAACCCGTATGCAAACTTGGAAAGCTGTGGAGCTGATGTTTAAACAGACTCACAAACTGTACCCACAAACTGTGCTAAATGGGAAATATAACATAATCAACATAAATGTAGATTTGGGACAAATTCTGGGGATTAAAAGATCTTGATAAAAGCAGGATTAGCGCTAGAAACAGAGCAGTGGAGAACAAACACACATACACATCCGTTTCTCATCTCAGGTTTTTGCCAACACGAGCCATCAAGATACTCAGAAGAGAACAAATTGCTTTTAAATTGCAATTATATAATCTCACGGTGTGCCTTAAACACCGGTGATTAAGTTCCTTTGCTTCCCCTTTCCTTAACTCTTATTAGACAGTGATTTGCAGGTAGTCCTTGACTTGTGACCACAATTGAGCCCAGGAATCCTGTTGCTAAGCAAGGCAGTTTTAAGTGAGTTCTGCTCCATTTTATGGCTTTTTCTTGCCAAGAGCTGTTAGTTGAGAATTGCAACACTGCAATTGCTCAAGTTAGTGATGGGTTAGTGCAGTGAATCCTGGCTTCCCCCACTCCACAGAAGGTCGCAAAAGGGGATTGCGTCATCCCGGGACACTGGCAATCGTCGTAAATTGGAGCCAGTTGCCAAGTGTCTTACTACAGGTAGTCCTCAACAGTTCATTTAGTGACCAGTTATACCTGAAAAAAGGGACTTATGACCATTTTCCACACTTATGACCGCTGCACCATGGTCACGTGAACAAAATTTGGATGCTTGGCAACCGACTCGTAGTTATGACGGTCGCAGCGTCCCAAGGTCACAGGATCCCCTTTTGTGACCTTCTGACCAGCAGAGTCAATGGGGGAAGCTGGATTCAGTGAACAAACCAACATAGCTGCGGGGATTCACTTAACAACAGTGGCAAGAAGTGTTATAAAAGGGGGCAGAATTCACTTAACCGAGGTCTCATTTGGAAACAGAAACGTTGGCTTCAGATGAAGTCGCAAGTTGAGGGCTACCACCAGTCTTATTGGAACTTCTCTATGCGGTCGTAACTCGAGGACTCCCTGTATTATTCCCAGCTGCTCTGCCTAACATTTTAAACAAGGGTTTGACTTCCAGCCAGTTCTGCCTAAGGTACATTAAGTGCTGCCTTTTATAGCAGCTCATGAGGTCGACTGTGTCCTGCACCAAATTGTCCTGACTTAAAATTCCTAATGCTCCTATTTCAGAACCCTGTTTTTTGTTTTTTATTTTTAATCCAAACTTGTACACTTTCTTGGCTTTTGGGACCTAAAAAGGCAACCCCTGAAAAGGAAGCTACAACTACATATAGTCGCTGACTTACAAGTTCATTTAGTGACTGCTCAAAATTACAGTGGCACTGAAAAAAAGGGACCTAGGACCATTTCCCACACTTATGACCGTTTGTAGCATCCGTGTGGTCACCTGATTAACATTGGGACGCTTGGTAACTGACTCGTATTTATGACAGTTGCAAATGTCCCCGGGGGTCATGTGGCTCCCTTCTGACAAGCAGTGGGGAAGCTGGATTCACTTAACCCATTACTAACTTAACGTTTGTAGTGTATCCCTTAACGGTGGCAGGAAAGATCATACAATGGGGACAAATTGACTTAATTATTTTACTTAGCAACCAGTTTGGGGCTCGCTTCCATGTTTTGCTCTTTCCAAAAAAAAAAAAAAAACCTCCAAAAAGGTATTTAAACATTTGCCTATTTAGAATCAATGTAATGAGAGCATTTTTACAGCTAATTGGGAAGCCGCTCTCAAGTTGCAGGCAATGATAAGAAATCTTAATTCTTGGCAAGCTCAGTGCCTGCACATGTTCTGGCTAGAACAGATTAACCGTTTCAAGGAAAACTGGATGTTTTCTGGCTAATTTGGACTGCTAGGCGTGAGATATGAAGCAAATCAGACCCCACCTTTTCAGGAGAACATATGAAGAAATAGGCCACTGCAAATTTGAGGCAACGTAATACTTCACAGATTAAAAACTGAATAAATACAAATGAAACATGCAGTCTCTTTTGTAACAACCCTTTCCGATTTACCTTTACTTTCTAGAAGATATTAAAAAGCTTCGTACTTTTTCTATGGTCTTGCCTAATTATCTGAACAAGTAATGAATGTAAACTACTGCTGAGGAAGCAGCAAACCACATCTTTCTATTTCCCTTCAAGATTAGCTAAAATAAGGAACTCTAACTTGCACTTATGTACAAATAGAACAAAAGTGTCCATGGTTTGCTGAGAAATTATCTTTGATAATGTATTATACTGTATTAACTGCCCAAGTTGTTCTTTGTTGCAAGGTAAGTTTTTTAAAAATGCAAACAGTAAGTATTTGACTGGATTTGTGGCATACTTATAAAACTATTAAAATAAGAAGCACAACATTCTGTAGATAAAACTTTACTATTGTATTAGAGCCAGGAAAGCATACTTGATAGTACGTTTAAACATATTTGTAGTGTTGGAAGGGGTGGGTTAATTTCCAATAGTAGAGTGTGAGTGTGTGCATACATATATAGCATTTATGGTTCTAAAGCAACTTACTTCCTCCATAGATTTTAATTTTACCAGTTGGTAATATTTAAAGATAAATTTCCTAAAGGGGAGACTTAAATTAAGTCTCATGTACAAATCTATTTGTTACATTAGAGTCAGCCCCCATGTCTGCAACTCCACAAAATTTAGGTTGACACTAAATTCTGTTTTCCATTCAAGTGTTATCAGGTGTACTATAAATGATGCATATAAGGAAAAATTACTTCTCCCATCTATAGAATTAGCCTTAGCAATGATTAAGAAAGGAAAATTAAGGTTATGGTGGACAATTCAAGTACTGACTCAGGAGGCAGTAGTAGGAAAAGGCAAGCAACATGACGGAAAGAATGAGGAAAAGAATAAAACTAAAATCGCTATTTACCGTTTACTATATTTATAAGCATAATTATTAGGATATAAACCCTCTCAAGCAAGTCCCTTATGAAGGAGAGAACATGGAAGGAGTGGGGGGTATCATTCATAGCTTTAAACATTAAATTTTGTTTTCTTCTACAAGTAAATACACATAGGCATAGCAAGAGACAGTTCTTAAAATATTATAAACCAAGAACAAATCTAATCATTCTGATTAGAAGCAAACTAATCTTTAAAAACATTCTAACAAAGAATACTAAAGATGTAGTTTCTTTAGGTTAGCTTTATCGCTTTAGTTTTAAAATTTAGTTTTTTATAATGCAATCTAAACTGATATAATTTAGTTCATGTTATAATAAACTTGATAATTATGCTGTTTTTTTTTATATACTTCAACTGAATGGGGTTTAGATTTTTATCCCCTTTAATTTTTATAAATAACTCAAGGCTGAAAACTTCTCCAACATGCCTTTTCCCCACACAACAACCCAGCAAGGTAGGTTGGGTTGAGACAGAAGAACTGGCCCAAAGTCACTTGGCCAGCTTTCACGCCTAAGGCAGGATTAGAATTCACTTAACCTAGTTTCCTGGTTGGGGGGGGCAATGAAAGTGGCTCTCAAACTCATTTCAAGTTGCTATATCGTGGCTTAGAAAGCCCAACCAGGTTAATTTGCTCAGTAAAACCATCAGTCACCGCTGCACTTCATTTGCAGCAACCACCAAAGCCTAGTACTCATTGAGAGCTTCCCCTTTTAAGACCTTAAAAGCAATCCCAATATTTAACTCCTCCTGTCCAAGAGTCGAATTTCTGCAACATCAGAGGACAAAGAGGTCACTCGCAAGCTAGCTACCAGCCATTATGGCAGGAGAGGAAAATGTAACTTTAAAAAGCGCCTCAAGCCAGCGGAGGAAAATGTGGCTCAAGAAGAAAGTAAAATCCCCTCCACTGTCACAGACACAAAAAAAGGCAGGTTCCCACCACGTGCCTGAATCCAATACTTGCTTTAATCAAACCAACATAGATTTTTAAAAAGATACTTTCCTAGGAGGTGGGGGGGGGATGGAAATTAGGTGCAAAATGCATCATTTTGGACACCTCCATACCATTATACAAAGGCAAGTTTTAAGAACTGGGGACTCCAACTCCCAGAATTCCTGAGCCAGCACAGCTTTTAAGAGAAGGGTCTTCAAACTGGGCAAGTTTAAGACTTGTGGACTTCAACTCCCAGAATTCCTGGGAGGAGGAATTCTGGGAGTTGAAGTCTTAAAGCTGTCAAGTTTGAAGACCCGTTTTAAGACCTCGGGACTCCAACTCCCAGAATTCCTGAGCCAGCACAGCTTTTTTTTAAGACTTGGGGACTCCAACTCCCAGAATTCCCCAACCAGCACAGCTTTTTTTTAAGACTTGGGGACTCCAACTCCCAGAATTATGGGAGTTGGAGTCTCCAGGTCTTAAAAGTTGCCAAGGTTGGACCTTTTTTGCTTTATGCTACTGCAAGCCGCCCAGAGACACTTTCGCATAGCATATAAATATAAATTAGGCGCTTATAATACATTTTTAGGTGCTTATTCCATGGGGGGGGGGGTCTCGCCCTGCAAGGAGAGAAACGGTAACCGGGAACCCCCCCCCCGGGTCGTCATCCTCCTTCCTCCAAAGTGAGCATGCGGCTGGGCTGAACCAGCTCCGAAGCACGTGGAGGCCATCCAAACGCTCCACGCCGCGCGAGCCTTCCTACCCACCCACGTCCACGCGAAGCCCGTCCCCTTTCTGACCAGTCCTGGGGCAGGGGCTGCTTGGAGAGACGCCCTCTCTCCGCTTCCCGGCGTCCAAAATGGCTTCGCCAAAAGCACATGGTGAAGGCCGCAGCAGCTGGGGCTTTGCAGCGTCTGTCCTTCCTCCTCTCCCTCCCCCGGGCAAAGCTTCCCACCCGTCCAGGCGGGTCCCGCAGTCAAAAGGGGACCATGCAATGCAAAGGCGTGCATGATCGCATTCCTACGTACATGCATGCATGCAAACCCACCCACACACACCCCCCTCAATTCTGCTCCCGCGCGCGGTGTTTCACCTTCCCCGGCCGGTTCTTCCCCGCGAAGGGCAGCTCCTTCAGCGGGGTCCGTGACACCCGCAGGCCCCGCCCTTCCCCGCAAGCCCCGCCCTTGCGTAACCTCACCAGCAAGCGAGAGGCGCAACTTCCACTCCTTTCTGTCTCCCTCCACTGCACGCGGTCCGCCCCGCGGCGTGCATCTATATAAGCGGAGGCGCCAGCCAATCAGAACACCGCCTTTCGCCGCACGCGCCAACCGCCCGTCGCTGATTGGCGGCAGCCTCCGCGCCCCCTTGCCCCAATCCCTTTCTTCGCCCAATCTCCCCTCCCTCCCGGCAGGTTACATGAGGCGGGGCAGGACTGCTAGGATTGGCAGCCGGCCCGACCTATCCGTCACCCTTGCCTCGGGCAATGGGAATAATAGTACGAGCCCTTTAGCGACCCTTGGGAAGGATTAAATGTATTCCTCGTGTTCAGCAATATAACGTCAGAATAAGAAATGGTCACACGTGGGTCACGGGGCTCCAGCCTGTCAGAGGTGGGAAGGAACCAAATGAGGCGGGAAACGCGGAATAAAAATCACCTCAGGCCCAAGAGGCGCCTTCACGAAAAAGGACACCTTCGTCTTGATTGGCATTGCCGTCGGCCAATAAGGAGGCGAAAGAGGGCGGGAGAAGGCCTTTGACGTTTGGAAAGGGGGCGGAGCAAAGCAAAAAGGCGGGAAATAAGCCCAGGCGGGATGGAGGTCCTTCAATATGTCGATATACCAATTTCTTACTCTAGAAAAAGATTTTTAATAGAAGCAAAAATGAAATGCCTCGCCAACTTCAAACACTAAATGTGCATCACAAAGTAACTCGTTAATTACAAGCTGGGAGAGAAACACAAACATAGGAATGAGCTGCAATTAATTAAAGACCCAATGATTAAACATTCCTGATTTCAAAAGACCCATTGTGTCTCTAATGGCTGCCTTCTATTTAATCCCAACTGGATTAGGAATTGGAAAATTCTCAGGCAGTTGGAGCCAATGGAAAGTCCAACAGTTTATGCAATTTTAAGATGAGTTGACTTCCATTCCCAGAATTCCCCATTCAGCTGGGCTGGAAGTTGAAGTCAATGCATTTTAGGATAGCCAAACTTGCAAAACACTTTTAAATAACATTTGTGTTTGCAACAAAAGGAAACAGTTATAAACTACTTCAGTTTTCTTTTGCAAGAATTTCCACAGAAGATGGTCACAAGTTGTTCTTAACTGAATTATTTTCAAATCACCATCTCGTATGTTTTCCCCATGTTTTATCCAACCGCAGGAAGTAAAAGTGCAATATGATTTCAAAACAAAATAAAGCAATGCTTCTATGCCTATTGAATGTTACTTTCTGGTTTTAAAACATGGTTTGATTCACTTAACAACTGTTTTACCTAGCCAGCATGCTTTAGGAGGGGTGGACTTCAACTCCCAGAATCCCCCAGCCAGCCTGCTTTAAGATGGAAGGACTTCATCTTCCAGAATCCTCCAGCCAGCCTGCTTTAAGAGGGGTGGACTTCAACTCCCAGAATCCCCCAGCCAGCATGCTTTAAGCAGGGTGGACTTCAACTCCCAGAATCCCCCAGCCAGCCTCTTTGAAGA